CTGAAAGCGGACTTCATGTACGCATGGAAAAGTGCCGCTTTGCAACTTCTTCTATCCACTACCTCGGATACATCATCGACAAGCACGGGCGACGCCCCGATCCCAAGAAAATTGAAGCAATCACCAAGATGCCTGCTCCAAAGGACATCTCACAACTTCGTTCTTTTCTCGGACTTCTAAGCTACTACGGCACTTTCATCAAAGAAATGCGAAGCCTGCGAGCCCCTCTCGACGCCTCTCTTAGTGAAGAATGCCAAATTCAAATGGACGAAGGAATGCAACGACAGCTTCAACCGAGCAAAAGCAATACTCTCTTCAGATCTTCTCCTCGCGCATTACGACCCAAGCCAGGAAATCGTCGTAGCCGCTGACGCATCAAACTACGGATTGGGCGCAGTGATATCACACCGTTACAAAGACGGATCGGAGAAGGCAGTCGCACACGCCTCTCGCTCACTACTCCCAGCTGAGAAGAACTACAGCCAAGTCGAAAAAGAAGGACTTGCGCTCATATTCGCCGTCCAGAAATTCCACAAGATGCTTCATGGACGCAAATTCACGCTCTTAACGGACCACAAGCCCCTGCTCGCTATATTTGGCTCGAAAAAGGGAATCCCGGTCTACACTGCGAACAGATTACAGAGATGGGCAACGACACTTCTGGCGTACGACTTCAATATCCAGTACCGGTCGACAGAAAGCTTCGGTCAAGCAGATGCACTCTCACGCCTTATTGCAACTTACTCTGCTCCGGAAGAAGAACGAGTCATCGGCGCCATTTCTGTGGATGAAGACATCAAGTGCACATTTGCCAATGCAGTTCAAGCACTACCCGTCACTGCGGGTGTTGTGTATTTGAGAGATTTCAAATATATAACCACAAGACAGTAAAAATCTGCCTAATCAAAAATTGTGAATACCAACGATGCTTGAATAGATCACCGTCTGTTATACGCATAGCGAGCAGGAGGCTTGTGGTCCGTTAAGAGCGTGAATTTGCGTCCATGAAGCATCTTGTGGAATTTCTGGACGGCGAATATGAGCGCAAGTCCTTCTTTTTCGACTTGGCTGTAGTTCTTCTCAGCTGGGAGTAGTGAGCGAGAGGCGTGTGCGACTGCCTTCTCCGATCCGTCTTTGTAACGGTGTGATATCACTGCGCC